CGAAGACCTGGGTCTGCACAGACGTTGTAACCGCGCATGCAAGGGAACCCATGTGGGCTGGGCGCACGCGTGCATCTCTGCACACCTGACAGGCACCGAGCAGCCCGTGTCGGGTGTTGCTCAGTTGGTTAAAGACGGTAGAGTCTTTGGTCTTAGTTCTGCCTTTGGTCTTAGTTCTTTCTAAAGTTTGGCTTTGCTATTAGAACCTCACTTCTTGATTGAGAGGAGCTGGAACCGGTGATAGACCGTATTCTCGGCTTTTGATTCTGTGTCTTAACTTAAGACGGTTGCGTCCGGGCACATGCTGTGTCTTCTCTGCCTTTCACCCTCCCCAACACCACCATCGATGCTGAACAAATAAACAACCTGAGATGTGATGTCTAAAGTTTACAGGACAGGCTTATCTATCAAAACGACGTCACCAAAGCACAGAGTCAACGGTTGTGTCTTAACTCGCTCATGGTGGCATTTCAATGCATTTTAGAGAAGGTTTGGTTCCTCCTCACACCCCGCCCTCACCCCCGGCCATCCCTAAAAACTAGCAAAATCGAGAACACTTCGGACGAAACTCAGCTCCCCCTAAGACTCAAAAAACTACTAGATGATGCACCGTGTATATCTCCTGATGAAAGATGAAGACCCTGAACAATTCTGCCTCACACGAGAGCATCCCACATATGATCTCAGATTGGGAGCAGCCTCTTCGCATGTTCTGTCTTACTCGAGTTTCACGAGATTGTAAAGCAGGTCAGACATCAGTTCCATTTTTAAAGGTGAGCAAACGGACACCCAAAAACATGAAGCGACTGTTTATCGATGCCAAAGGAAGGAAGCGGAGGGGGGGGGGGGGGGAGAGTGGGAGGAAAGCAGAGAGAGAAAGAAGACCGAAAAATAAAAAAGCAAATTAAACCAGAGCTGGAACTAGAACTTAAGACCGGGACGCTATCTCGTCTATCATGGAACTACTTTTCTAGCAATTAGTCATTTCCTCAGCCCCATCTGGTAACAGCAGCAGGGGTGGAACCCAACAGCTTTAAAAGTACTCACAGCACTGACGGCAATCCAGAAGCCTTGGAAGGGACGCAGAAGGCAGCCACAGCGGCAAGACTGGTAACGTGGCTGCCCTGTCTTTATACCCCCCAGACTTTTCCAGCGCACTTTCCCACACAGGGTTTCATTCATTCTGCAAAACAACCTTCTGCGATGGTCGCTACCAGCCCCATTCCAGGAGGAAGCGGAGACGCAGGAGGACCACGGTCGGCCAATCCCACAGCATCTGGGTGCCCTCCCTGGTTCCCTCGTCAGCCTGCTGTCGCTTTGCCCACCTGTCCGAGCATGGAGCCGAGCCCACCCTGCAGGCCCAGATGCCACCTTGGGGAGGAAACCGGGAGAGGGGAACCAGGCCAGACACACACATTTGGGATGGAACTCAGAGAAACCTCTAAGGGGAGGGATCCCAAAGCAGAGGGCTGGGCTCTCCTAGGGTGGCCCGAACTGGGCTGGTTCCCAGGAGGGGCTTGGGGTCGACACAAGGCGGGCACAGATTCTGCCTCCTGGTCTCTCCGGCTGTATCACTCTGCCTTCAGGCACCGTGTGTCACCTCTTGACTTACCTCCACAGAAAGCAGGCTCTCCTTTGGGTTAGGAGTGAAGCTGGATTCTTCCATTGTCTCTCTGTACTGGGGCCTCGGGACCCAGGAAGTTGTCCCCAGGGGCTTGGCCATGGGCAGATTATAATGCGATGCATGGCCTGCTGCTCTGCCATGCTGAGCTCTGCCTCTGGGAAACACAGTCTGCTGCTATGGGTGCTCTTTGGCCATGTCTACCCGGGGGACACTGGCCCTATGGTGGCAAGCTGTGCAGAGCAGGGGCCAGAGCGCTTGGCTGGAAATATGCGCACACGCGCACCCACACCCATACATACATGAGCATGTAGATACTGCATGCCAGTGACTTCTGGCTCATCAACTTGCTTCGTGACCCCATTTCAGATGCTCTCCGTTGGGGGCTGCAGTTTTTACATCTGTGAAATGACACGGGCCATGGGCAGAAAGAGGAGCATCCTATCACCTGCTGTCCGAACTCACAGAATTTGGGGATAAAGTGAGAACATGGGTTTTAAAGGATCCCAGGAATCCCTGTCACTTCTGCAATTAATACATATTTCTTGAGCAATAATAAAGGATAAAGCACATGCAGAGAAATGTTCTGGAAAGTCTGGAAACAGCATCCAAATGGGGCAGCATTACCTTACCTAGAAACGGCAAACCACAACCAAACCCCTGGATTCTGAGGGTGTGGGTCTGCAACGAAGAGAGGTGCAAACCACACAGCGCTTTCCTGAGCTGTACACTCCTGGCCCTCCTGGGGAAGCGGTGGGATGGGGCAGTTGGCACCAGAGCTCTGGGCTCATCATTCTAGAAAGGCAAAGGGTGAGAGGGAGGGTAACTCAGACCCTGGGAAGTGAGGTGGAGGAAAGAAGTGGACCTGTCAGTGTGCTTAAGGCTAAATAAAACCTACCAAGACTCAGCTGAGAGTTTCAGCAGACTCCAAATGTGCTATTAAAAAAAAAAAAAAGGCATGGCTCCCATCTCTAAGGTTCACAGCTAAGCTGGCTTAGAATCACACACGCCAAGGTTAAAAATAAAAAGCAGCCATCCCTGAATGACATGGGCTCTGGGAAGGAAGCCTGGGGTAAGCTGTTTGCTGGTGAACCTGGGAGAGGGGAGTGCAGACACTGGGTGCAGGGTACTGGTGCTTATTGGAGGACACAATATCTAAAAGCCAGATGCTCAGAATTTTGCTATTTTGCACTTAAAAGGCACTTCATACTGGCAAAGGGTTTCATAATAATCTTCAGATTTTCCATTGAGGAAAGCCTGCTGTGCATTAGAGTGTGACCACGGCTGACCCACACAGGGTTCTGCTGCTCCATGCATTTGCCTCCCTCACCCTGGGGTCTGGCTCTGGCGCTGTCCTCACACACCTCGTACACCCGGATGGGATGCCTGTGGGTCACAGCGTGGAAAGCACCAGACCTACCATTCTGTGTCACTCTACTCCATTAAGCCAACATAATGGTGCTGGGACCACAACAGGCCGCGTATCCCCTGCTGAGCTCCACTGGAGACAGAGTACGTGTCTGCCTCCTAAGGACAGTACATGTCCCATCCCTTGGCCCCACAACCACGAACACTACAGGTCAGGTCTATCGGCCTCATTACCCCCTTGCAAATCCAGGACCCCTTATTATGACCCCAGTGGGGTCCCCCTTCTAATGAAGTTTTCATTTGTCCAATATGCTTATGACTTCTACTCTCTAAAGGGTTTATTTATTTTTTTAAAGATTTTATTTATTTATTTATTAGAGAGCGAGCGAGAGAGAAACAGCATGAGAGGGGGGAAGGTCAGAGGGAGAAACAGGCTCCCCGCTGAGCCGGGAGCCCGATGTGGGGCTTGATCCCAGGACTCCGGGATCATGACCTGAGCCGAAGGCAGTCGCTCAACCGACTGAGCCACCCAAGCGCCCCTAAAGGGTTTATTTTTATAAACATTTTAAAAAATTAGCTCTAGTTACTGTTACTCTAGTCAGCTACCATGTTACTCCTCCTCAGCTCTGTGACTATGGAGACATTTCTAGAAGGTCTTCAAGGGGTCAGGTGAATGATGGGAATTCTGTGACCCATGTGTTCAACACCACCCTGGGGGACGCCCTGACTCAGCCCACGTTTGGGCCAGTCCTACACCACAGAACCATACAGGGGTTGGGAGGCGGATGGGCCCTGAACAAGAGAGGCGGTCACCTTCCAGAAGCTTCAGGCTATCCCCAGACACCACCAGCCTGGGTGACTGTCATCCCTGGCAGGGCAACGGAGGAGTGGACAGACTGGCTGTCCCTAGGATCCAGCCAACCCTTATCTGAGGTGCTCACCATATCCCAAATTCCGCATCCTGGCTGCCGGTTTGGAAGCACCACCCAGGGCAGATGTCTTTTTCACACCTTGAAGGCACTTTAGAAAGACCTCGGAAAGCAGGTGAGGGAAGGGACGATTTTCCTGCCCATGGTGATATATGAGAAAATCGAGGCTCGAAGAGTTTCAAGTATTTGCTCAAGCTAAGTGACAGCATGACTCAAATCCAGGGTTCCTTTCCACTACCCAAGACCACTACCTCAGGGTCAGAGCGTCTGGGGGCTCTCAGCCGAGGCACAGCAGCAAAGACCTGGAGCTGGGAATGACCCTCCAGAAGGGACCTTCCTCATCCCCACACCTCTCTTAGGGCCAGCGCGGAGCCCCGCCGCAAGGGGGCCCTATTCGGACCTTCTCTGCTCAGGGTCCTTCAGATGCCTGGAAAGATCGGCGAAGGTCAGGAGAGGGCCCCCTTCCCCGGGCCCCCTGCTCCACCCCAGAGGCTGGACAAGCAGGCAGCCCACCAGCTCGCCCTGAGGTTTGGCTAGAGACCCCCCTTCCCTTCCGGCGCCTCCAGAAACAACTGCCCTTTGCCGTTCGAGAAAGTGCGTGGTCTACACCATCCCTGGGAAGTTCTGAGTAAATCCTGCTGGAGTCCCCCCACCTGTCAGCCTGAACCCCCACAACGAGCTGGATTAAGGGGGAGAGAAGACGCAGGAGAAGGCCCTAAGGATGGACCCGACTGGGGACCCGGCGCGCGGAGTGGGGCGCTCCCTCTCACCTGTACCAGTCCAGCCCGCGACCGTAGTTCCTGTCGAAGAAGTGGGGCTCGGTGCCCAAGGCCCTCACGTCCGGGTGCACGCGGATGAACTCCAGCACGGCCCGCGTGCCCCCCTTCTTCACGCCCACGATGAGGGCCTGGGGCAGCCGCTTGGTGCCCATCCTGACCGAGCCCGAGTGGTTGGCAGCCGGGAGGCGAGGAGCGGGCGCGGCGGCGGCGGCGGCGGCGGGCGCGCTGGGAGCGCCCGGCGCGCTGGGCGTGGGCCCCGGGGGATCGCAGGGGCGGGACTTCGGGAGAAGTTTCTGGCCGCCCGCGCCGGGGCCGCGGAGGCACCGAGGCGCGCCGAGGAGGCGGCTCTGGCCCAGGTCGTCGCAGCAGCACAGGAGGCTGTAGCACAGGTAAGTGCAGGAGAGCGAGAGCGTGAAGGCGAAGAGCAGCCTGCGCGCCCTCCGCGGCTGAGCTGGCCCCGCGCGGCCCAGGACCCTATAGGCCATGGCTCCATGGGCCCGCGCCGGGGGTCATGGTTTCCGGGGAGCGCCGGCGGCGGAGCTGCTGTGGCCCTGCGGCCGCCTAGAGGGCTGGCGCGGCGCTGCCCCGGCCCCGCGGGTCGGGCGTGGGGGGCGCCGTCTTCCCCGGGCGCTGCCGGCCGGGGCGCGCACCATGCCCGGGGATCCCGGGGGCGGCGGCTTCTCGGGGCACAGGCGGCTGCGCGTCCCACATCTCCCCGTCCCGGGCCCCGGGGCCCCGGGCGGCGCTCCTCGGGTCTCACGTGCGCAGGCTTCGGAGTGCGCCCAGCGCCCGAAGCTCCATTCCCTGTCCTTGGTGCGCGGCGCCCCGAACGCTCGGCGGCGGCGCGGCCGCTCGGGCTGGCGCGCGGACCGGACGGTGGCGCTGGCGCGGGCCCCGCTCGGTCTCCTCGAGAAATGCCGAGCCGCGCGCGCTGCCGGCTCTATTTAAGGAGTCGCCTGACGTCAGCCGCGCGGGTACCCCGAGCCCGCGCCCCGCCCTGGGACCTGGCCCGCCCCCTGCGCCCCCACTCTCCTGCCCCTCCCAGGGACGCGCTACCCCGGGCCCTCCCCGCGCCGGCCGCTTCCTGAGGAGCCCCGGCGGGCTTGGGATGGCGAGGCATTTACTCCTCCAGGGGGGGCTGGACGCCCCCACCACCCCCAGGGCTGGGAACCCCGGTCCGGGTTGCGCCAACATCCAGACCCGGGCGCAGACGCAAGCACTCTACACTGATACACGGTCCCACCACACTGACACACACACACGCAAGCACACACACAGGTACACACGTACCCTGACCAGGACACACCCCCTCACCCCACATGGGCGTGGAAACACCGACAGGGACCCTCCCCTGTCCCCCTCATCCCCATCTCACCAGACACACACACACAGCCTGGAATCGGACATCGTGCCGTGTGCGCACACACGCGCGGGACTGGGACACACGCTCTAGACGGGGATGGGTGGAGGAGCCGATCGTGAGATTCCGTGACTATTCACGGAGCTCCCTAGCCCCCCGCGCGCTGACTCATACCCAGGCGGCTCGCTCTAACACCCATGAAGCATGCGCCCCCACCCCACTGTCACCCCACCGTTCCCGGGTCGTGGCGGGAGAGTGAGCCCCAAAGGCGCGGACTCCGCGAGGGAGTGTATGTGGGGGGGGGGGGGTTCCTCTCTTAACGGCCGCCCCCTAGCGGCGGACTGCTCCCCAGGGAGCTGTTCCGGGGTCCCACAGTGTCCCTAAGGTCCAGGATGATGCAGACTTCACCCAGGGGCAGGAGGAGGAGAAAGAGGGGAGGACTGATCCAGGAGGAATTCCACTTCGAATGACTCCCAAGTAATTGCTCACAGTGACCATGCCCAGACCAGGCATGTGTGACCAACCCCAGTGCTGCCCTGAGTGACCCACACTAGTGGATCAGAGCAAACCTAAGTCACAGTGCCCAAGAACGCAGCTAGCTAAGTTGTCACCCCACAGCAATGCCAAATCCCTGTGCCCAGGTGTTCACCAAGTGCTACCCCACAGAATGTCTGAATGACCACCACCCCCTCTACCGTCTCCCCCCACAAACTAAACATACTTCTTCAGGGAATACCTTGATCAGGCTTTGTGGACCTTAGCCCAAGCCAGGGAATATTAACCAGGCCCATCCTAGAAACCTCAGGCCAGTCCTTCTAGTACAGATCATAACTACCAACTTTGTTTCAAGCCCTCCCCAGGTTAACTCAATATCAACCACAGCCTATGAGTTTGTTACCATTATCCCCACATCACTTCCCTTCCTTAATTCGAATAGCAGCTAACATTTATTGAGTGGTTTGGTGCCGGTAATGTGCATATCACTTGACATGCACTACCTCCTTACTCTTTGGAGATAGGTTACTCATTTATAATTCCTGACTTATAGACAGTGAGATTAAGGCTTAATGAACACATAATCAGTAGTCAACAGGGCTGGGGTTAACCTGACTCCAGGATTCAAGCTCTTAATGACAATGCTTTACAATTCCCTCTCTTGTTTTGATCATTCCTAACAGCATTCCCTGCTAGGCTCCTCTTCCAGGTGTGAACTAACACATCTATATTACCGCTAAAACCTGACACCTGGGACCCAATGAGGACTTCCAGGTGTAGGTTGAAAAGTTCACCCGGATGCTCACCTCCCTTCTGTAGACTCTGCCTCCAGTAATGCCACCTCCGACTCCATTATATTTTTCTTGTAGCTACATCAAGCTGCTGACATCTCAAGCTCATAGCCAAGTTCCATCTCTAAGTCTCTTACAACTGCTGCTGATTAAGGCATATCTACCCCATACTGTGCTTGTACAGTGGGCTTTTTTGGACCCAACATGTAGGTCCTTACACATCTGATCTGATTACATTTTATCTTGTCTCATCAGCTCACTGCTCCAGTTTTTAACAAATGTCTACTTGAGTCTTAAATCACAGTGCAGCTTTCAGTTATTCAAAAAGAAAACGTAGAAAGTTGAATTCTGGCAGCCTGATCCTTGATTCCAGGTGTACCTTGGGCAAGGGTTGACCTTTCTGAGCCTTGGTTTTCTCAGCTGTAAAATGGGGAGTTAGGATTAACTAGGAAAACCTCCTGGGGTTCCATTATTCAAGGCATGAACTACTCTGTTGGCATTATGTCATCTCCGTGTGTTTGATTACAATTTAATTAATTTTTCTCTCACGTTTTTAATAATGTCAAAATAAATATGTTGGAAGGATCTCTAAGATAGACCTTCGACAGTTTTTCACACTGTGAACCTGTTATTTCTGCACTTCACTGTTAGAATTACAAGGTTAAATGTGGATTAATCCACTCTGACAAGAAATTTTTTTCTTGCAAAAAAAAAAATGAGTGTAGTTATTTCTCCTCATTCTCTACTTGGCTCAATTTAAAAATTATTTTTATCTTTGAATTCATAAGCTGTGAAATGCCTGGGTATTCCAGCCCATCAGAGCCAGGCAGATTTGCCTCTTCAATTTTCCAACCAGAGTAGTGACCGTGATTTGGATAGAGTTTCTCAGGAGTGAGACAGCGGACATGCCTGCTTATCATCCCCCACCCCTCTCTTTTTTCTAGAAGTACCATAATCCTCCTTTGAGAGCATCAGGGAGGATTATGCATGGACTAGGACTGGAATCCTTCAAAAATTAGACACAGTACTAAGATCCAGCTACTTCTCTCCATCTACTCTGTTCCTCTTTGGACCTTATTTTCTTCTCACTCCTATCTGCCTTTTTACCCCCTTTATTTATAAATCAGGAAGGGCTACTGAGTTGCAAGCAAAAGAAGCTGATTTTGGCTAATAGAAGCAAAAAGAGGGATTTGGAATAGCTCACACAGGAAAAGAACTTAGCAGTTGCTCACAGAATGAAGAAGGTGGGGGAACTGGGCGCATAAACAGAATAGCAACCACAGGACACAGATCCTTTTCTTGCCTTCCTTTGAGTCTTCATTTGCTGTTTTGCATCAGCATTCTCTTGAATCTTCCCATCCACTCTTACACCCTGCATTTAAGACCTTGATCTGAAATTACAAAACAAGGAAATGTTCTTTCCCGTAAGTCTATGGACCCAATCAAGCCTTATTATTCCGTTGTATTTCAGTGTAAGTTTCCATTCTGTTCCCCCTAGAGCCGAGTTTTGTAAAATGTGAGAAAATGCTCCAAAGAGGGTGGTTCCTAAGAGGCAAAGGACTGTGAAATGGACTCACATGGTCTTGAGGGGTTGTGTGAGATGCAGAGTTCACATCTGAGCCGGAGGGTGTGCATGAATATTATACTTTTAGGAACAGACTGGGAGTGAGGATGAGAGAAGGATTTCCATGTGCTTCACGCTCTGGCTAAAGTCAGAGGGCAAAAGTTCGAGGGACCAGATGCTGCCTATAGAAGGGAACAAATCTGGAAGGCCAGGAACCATGGTTGATTTTAAGTACTTTGTAAGATTCCAAACTTTCTGTCGTCTCCATATTGGTTTACTTGTGCTGTTGGCAGCATTCTTCTTCTTCTTCATCATCATCATCATCATCATCATCGACATGATGTATTGACCACCAGGCACTGGGCTAAGCATTTGGGTGCAGTACCTAATTTAATCCTCGAATAAACCAATAAGGTAGGGCTTATTAGTATCCCTATTTTATAAATATGGAAACCATCTCAAGGAGGTTCATTTTTCCATGTTCTCCCGGATGCTGCAGGCTGGAGAAGGGGGAAACCAGTGCAAAAAAAATGTATGAATGGGGCGCCTGGGTCACTCAGTTGGTTAAGTGTCTGATCTTGATTTTGGCTCTGGTCATGATCTCAGGGTCATGAGATCCAGCCCCCAGCCCCGAGTCGGGCTCCGTGCTCAGCGAGGAGCCTGCTTTAGATTCCCTCTGTCCCTCTCCCTCAGCCTGCCCCCTCCCCCGGCTTCTCTAAAATCAATCAATCAACCAAACTTAAAAAAAAAAAAGCCAGAATGGGGAGGCTGATGATCAGCTTCACCCATAGCCTTCCCTTGGGTCAGAACTGTTTCGTGCCCCACCTCCCATCCTGCATTATGTAACCCACACAGTCTTCTGCTCACCTTATCTTACCACCTTGCCTTCTTAATGTGACTGTAAACCCCTTGGGGGCCAGGGACTAAACAGCTAGTTCCAGATCAGCCTGGTACTTAGAATCTGGGCTGCATATTCATGTTAGGACTCCCCTGGATTCCTGATCTCCTTTCTCCTCCTTGATGGACCACAGACCACTATTACCCTGTTAGGTCTTCCAAGAAAGAACTAATATTTCATTTCAAAATTTATCCAAAGTGGATTATTTGTAATGTCTGGGAAGTTACTAACCTTGTACAATAATGTGGTAGAGCTGACCCAGAAGTACCTGGTGATACTCCCTCTCGTCTCCTTGTCTTTAACCAAATGGAAGCAGATGAGAATGTCACCATTGGTGACCCCCCAGTTTATCCATTGCTGAAATGCAGATCTTAGTGGTATAAGAAGAGTACCTAGCTACAGAGAACAACTTAGGGAGATATATTTGTTGGCTTGCATTGAGTTTTCTGTTTCCCTCAACATTATTACTCTGTAGTAATATCCTGAATGTAGAAACAAATGAAAATCCTGAGAAACAAAAAGAAAAAAGTCCCCCAAATAACAAGACTCAGAAATAACTATCACTTAATGTTTTTTACATCCTTCCAATTATACATGTGTTTGTTAGTTTATGGGTCAGCCCATATCTATTGTTTTGTAAAATGCTTTTATGCTTGACAATATGGTGAATCTATTTTATATCATTAAATACAGACCTATGTAGGTCTAGTACTTTCAGAAAGAGAAAATAGCTTACTTGCTTTTCTAAGTATGGGGTAAGCTTGCAGCTACCATGAATGGAGAGAACTGAACACGCTTATGAACTAATTCAACATGTAAGTAAGCAGAGTGAAAGGGAAAGACTGAGTCCCAGTAATAGTGTTTGAATCCCTGGATCCAGCTTTGCCTGAAGCTGTCTCTTCAAGAGACAGTAAAGCATAGTGGTTAGGAGTGCAGTGTCTGGAAACAGGCTGCCTGAGTTCAAATCCTGGCTCTGCTAGTGAGATAAAACAAGATTATAAATGTAATGCACTCAGAACAGAGCCTGGCTAACAGTAAGCCCTCAGTAAACATTAGCCATTATTATACTGCAAACTTTTCAGTTATATCCATCCATAAATTCTTTTTTACTTATTTTGATTGATAGAGATATGTATTTTTCAACTAGATCTTTATCTTTCAACCTACTTAAAAATTTTTATTGACAATAAAATAAAGTCAACCTGTGTTCTCAGTAATCACCTAAGATCCCTCCTGCTTTGGATCCAACTTATCTTCCTGATACTTTAAATGCTTCTAGGGAAGTAACCACATATCCATTCTGGACCTAGTTCATGGCAAGTGTTCAGTAAATGCTTGTTAGAGAAATAGCTAATATCCCCAAAGACCCCTGTGCCTGGAGGACAACAATTTTAGCATGAGTACATGGAATAACTTATCTTAAAGGACTGGATTTTCTATTCATTGATCACCCCCCGGATAAACATGATATATAGTCACATTTTGTTTATGCCATCTACCCCCTTGATCCTCTCTCACTGTGCTAGATTTTCTGGTTAAAATCAACTTTCTGCCCACTCAGTGCCCAGTGCCTGCACCCACACAGCTGAACACAGCAAATGCACAAGCATGATGACTAGTCCCACTTAAAATTCATCATTTCTAATCTCAAGTGGACCCTTCACATTTCCTGGCAATCATGCTACATTTCCCTTGTCCATTCATTCTCGGTTCTCCTATGTAACTATTTGGTTCCTTCTCCCCTCTTCTCAGTCCTCAAGCAGCTCCTCCCAATCCTGATCATCTGATGGCCTTGCTTCCTCCAGACTTCACTGGCTAATAGAAGCAACTGGAAGAGAGCTCTTACTGCCACCTCTACCCACCTGCCTGTAGCTATGTTCATATACTTTATTTTCTCTCTCTTGAATGGGAGTTCGTGGTCTATGTTCCTTGATCAGGCCAGCCCCTCCATCTGTGTACTCTATCCAGACTGTTTCTGTCTACTCAAGGACATGACTCCAGGAAGCCTTCCCTTTTTCTCCCTTGTTACCAGTGTCCCCTCTCCACTGGGTCCTTCCCATCAGCGTATCAATAAACTGATATCTCTCCCATCTCCAAAAGAAAAGAGGCAAGCAACCCTGTCTTGACCTCATCTCTCTCTCCAACTGGAGCACCATTTTCATCCTTCTCTATATAGCTCAGCTCTTCAAGGGTGAGCTCTACTCACTGCTTCCCATCTCCATCCCCTCACCCTAAGCCCATCCCAGTCAGGTGTATGCTCCCACCTCCCCTCTGAAGCTGTTCTTCTGGAGGTCACCAGTGCCATCCATTGTGCAAAACTCAAGCCAACTCTTCATCTTAGTGGGACTTGACCTAGGGACAGCCCGTGGCACAGCCGACCCTCTTTTCTTCCCGAAACTCTTTGTTCACCAGGATTGGAAGATGCCACATCCTCCTGGTGTTTTTCTCACTTTTCTGCTCCTGAGTTTCCTTTGATGGCCTATTTTTACCTCCCTGACCTCTCACTTGGGAGTACCCCAGGGATTGGTCCTTGAAAATTATCTCTTTCCTGTCAAGACCCCCTCCCTTAGTGACACCAAAGGTCTCCTGTGTGTATCCCTTCATATACTGCTGCATCTCAAATTTGCAGCTCCTTTCCCTGGAATGTCTACTGAGACATGTCTGCCTGGAGGGCTAACAGGCATCTCCACCTAAATATGTTGCAAACCAAACTCTTACTAGTTCCCTAAAACCTGCTGTCATTGTAATTTTGGTCATCGAAGTAAATGGCAATTCTCATCTTCCATTTGCTCAAGCCAAGAATAATCTAGAGTTAGGGGCGCCCGGGTGGCTCAGTCAATTAAGCATCTGCCTTCGGCTCAGGGTCCTGGGATTAAGCCCCACATCAGGCTCCCTGCTCAGCAAGGAGTCTGCTTCTCCCTCTCCCCTTCCCCTTGCTGTGCTCTCTCTCTCTCTCAAATAAATAAAAATCTTCAGGGGCACCTGGGTGGCTCAGTTGGTTAAACATCTGCCTTCGGCTCAAGTCATAATCCCAGGGTCCTGGGATTGAGCCCCCGCATCAGGCTCCTTGCTCAGTGGGGAGCCTGCTTCTCCCTCTCCCTCTGCCCCTCCCCCTGCTTGTGCACTCCCTCTCTCTGTCAAATAAATAAAATCTAAATATATAAATAAATAAAAATCTTAAAAAAAAAAGAATAATCTGGAGTTGGCCTTGACTTCTCTGTCATACCCCACTGATTTGTGAGCAAATCCTGTTGTTCCTCCCCACCCAGAATATATACTGAATTTGACTGCCTCTCACCACCTCCACTGCTAAATATCCTAGCAGGCTTCAAATTTGTTCGAGTAGGGCGCCTGGGTGGCTCAGTTGGTTAAGCGACTGCCTTCGGCTCAGGTCATGATCCTGGAGTCCCGGGATCAAGTCCCGCATCGGGCTCCCTGCTCGGCAGGGAGTCTGCTTCTCCCTCTCCCGCTCCCCCCTCTTGTGCTCTTTCTCTCTCTCAAATAAATAAATAAAATCTTTAAAAAAAAAAATTTGTTCAAGTAGCTTGGAGTGCATGTTCCTGTGGCCTCAGCAGCACAGAACTCATGGGTATAGCAGACCCTCCACCTCTTAGACACCTTTGGGGTCTAGAGGATCCTGCAGTAGGGGAGTGTGACCGCCTGGCTTGCTGCTAGGTGGGTGTGGCTGTGGTCCCTGAGGCTGCAGACAGTTCCAGATGCTCCAGAACGCACAGTGATGTAGCAGTCGTGGGCTCTGCTAACATTTTCCCTTTTGTTTCTCCGGCCTGGGTTGGGGCGGCTCCTGAACTTACTCATTTTGCAGTAACTCCATCCTTCCCTTTTGGCGCCATCTACCCTTCCAGTACTTTTAGAACCAATCTCCTGTATTAAATCATTTCTGTTTGAAATACCTAGGGTGTTTCCCTTTTCCTGACCAGACACTGATCGATCTAGCCCCCACCCAGTCTTCCTAGGATCTTCTCAACAATGAGAGGGATCCTTCTGTTGAAAGCCCTCTGTGGTTTCTCAGCTCATCCAGAGGGAGGATCCACCCCAGGGACTAAAGCATTGTCAACCTGGTAAGAATTGTTGGGAGATAGTAAACCCAAAATAAAACTGTCAGCTGCCCAGATCATTCCCCTCCACTCCGTACCCCTGCCTCCCCACTATTCTCAAGCAATGAGGAGTCTCAGAATTGACCTCATTTCAAAATGAGAATCAGAAGACACTGCAGGGGACTCAGGAATAAATACTCCATAAGAGGGTGATTTTAACCTCTCCTTGGTTCATACCAGCACACCTCTCCTTTTCTGCACTCTGTGAGATTTCCATGCCTGGAGCTCACCTGAGTCACGTTTTCTACAGAACGAGTGACTGGAGAGTGGGCAGCACACATTCCCCTTGGCGTGCATGGCAGGCGATACCTGGGGGGGCCGGCTGCTCAGCCTGGCACCTCTCCCCCCGCTTCCCGCAGCACCCGATGCGTCTGAGTACTGAGCTCTTGGCGATCCTCTCGGGCAGTCGTTCCCGTTTCCAGTGTTTGGTTCGACTTTCTCGGCTCTGCCGTGCCAGGTAGTGCTTCTGGTGTTTTATTGTAATTTCTCATTAGCTGTCGTGTCCTCTCACTTTCTTTGTCCTTGTAGGTTAATACCTTTATTTCATTCCTTTAGACGCACTGGTATTGTAAGCAATACAATCTGTGTGACAGAGGGGTTCTGAAAGAACCGTGAACTTCTCCCAACACAGAGCACTCAGGTGGTGGCTCTCGAGCTAATCTGTGTGAGCCAGAGAGGCTGCCCCTCCAAGTCTGGGTCTTCAGCTCTGACAGCTCTCACATGTGGACCCTGCAGGCAGCAAGCTGCAGGCAAGTAGACAGTTTGAGAAGGTCAGCTGGTGGGTAGGTGGGAAACCTAATTAATTCGTACCATTCAGGTAGTACACGAATCATTCTTTTTGTATGAAGGTAGGATGGCAGAGCCAAAGAGGAGGGGCCCTTTGACATCCCCCAGCAATTTTTCTTCTCTCCCCAAAAGTTCCTAACATTGGCACAGCTTACGTAGTCTACTTTTAGTCTTTCTTCTGCGCTTTCCTGTCTAGAAAACTAGGAAAACCCGGCTGAGTTTATTAGGGGTTTGGAGTGGAGAGTACACAGATGATGAGGATATTCTGCACCTTGCTTTTTTCACTCGACGTGGTAATGCCTGTAGATTTACCTCGACCTCTGCAAAGTATTTCATCAAACATTTGATGCCTCAGGTTGTTTACAATTTATATTGTTTACATATCATGGGTGATTTAGTCATTTCCCTGTTAATAGGCATTTACCTTTGTATCGTGATTAAATGTGACTGCCTATGACTGAGAAGCCCAAAGTACAGGAGTTTGAATAGGATATTCATTTGTCTCATTTAAAGGAAGTCCAGGGGCGCCTGGGTGGCTCAGTCAGTTAAGTGGCTGCCTTCGACTCAGGTCATGATCTCAGGGTCCTGAGATCAAGCCCCACATAGGGCTCCTTGCCCAGTGGGGAGTCTGCTTCTCCCCCTCCCTCTGCTGCTCCCCCTGCTTGTGTGTGCTTTCTCTCTCTCTCACTGTCAAATAAATAAATAAAATCTTAAAAAAATAAAATAAAGGAAGTTCAGAAGGAGGTGGTCTGGGTCAGTATGGTGGCTCCACAGAGTTACCAGGCACCTGAGCTTCTAGTCTGGGTAACCTTGGATGTGTCCCCCCTGCTTGTCGTTGAAGTTGGGTGCTGCAGTCTCCATAAGCACTTCCTCCGTCCCGGGGACTGCATGGAGGAAGGGGAAGAGGGTGTTCATCCCCCCTCCCCGATTTCCCAACAGTCCCACACGAATGTCTGCTCACTTCTCATTGGCTGGAATTCCATCACGGGGCCACCCCTGGCTGCGAAGAAAGCTGGGACAGGCACTCTCGTTCTGGATGGGTGGGAATGTGAACAGGTTCTGTTGGTTTGAATAGACTGTGGGCCCAGAGCTGGAAGGGGGTCTGGGAGTTAATCTCCGGCATTGACTCTAACTCTTAAATTGTTGATCACAGGACAGTGTGGGGGGGGAGGGGAGAAGGTTCAAGTGGCCTGCGCAGTGGGAGTCAAGGGCCCTTGCAGGACTTGAGGTGGGGGCTGTCTACCAACTTGAAAGGGAAGTAGTTCAGTATCTTAGCAACTGGTAGAGCCCTGCCTATACCTGCTCTTACCGTGTGCACGTGCTGCTGTTTTTCCGAGTAATTCCTCTAGGTCATAGGGTGTGTGTTTTAAATTTTTTTTTTTTTAAAGATTTTATTTATTTATTTGACAGAGAGAGACAGCAAGAGAGGGAATACAAGCAGGGGGAGTGGCAGAGGGAGAAGCAGGCTTCCTGCCGAGCAGGGAGCCCGATGCGGGGCTCGATCCCAGGACCCTGGGACCATGACCTGAGCCGAAGGCAGACGCTTAACGACTGAGCCACCCAGGCGCCCCTGTGTGTTTTAAATTTTGATAGATCCTCCCAAACTGGCTCCGCTGATCATACCCTCCCAGCAATTCGCCCCCCACCCCCGCAACCTCATCAATGCTACCTATTAAGAGATTATATTTTTAAAAGTAATTCTGCCAATCATACAGAAGAAAATGATAATCTAATTGTTGTTTTTATATACATTCCCCTGATTATCACTGTGGGTAAGAGTCTTCTTATATGTTCCTTGGCCATTTAGGATTCCTTGTCTGTAAATTACCTGTTCATGGAGTTTGCCAATTTTCCCGGAATTTATTTTTGTATATGATCTCAGGTAGCGCTCTAATGTTTTCCAGTTAGATAAGCACATGTCTGAAATCAGTGACTGAATAGTCCTTTCTTCTCTTGCAGATATAAAATACTGTTTCCTTGGGCACCTGGGTGGCTCAGTTGGTTGAGTGTGCAACTCTTGACTTTGGCTCAGGGTCATGAGCTCAAACTCCGCAACCAGCTCTGGGCTCAGCGAGGACTCTGCTAGAGATTATCTCCCTCTCCCTCTGCTCGCATGTGTGCACTCTCTGTCTCTCAAATAAATAACTAAAATCTTTTTAAAAAATACTATGTCTCCCATGTGTGGACTCTCTCTTTGGTTCCACAGATCTGTCAGTATTTGCAAACAGTATTGTCTTAATATGCATTAATTTTGTAATAATCTTATAAGAGTTTCTAAAATACTATTCAAGGAAGAATCAAAGAATAGACAGAATACTTTTGAAAATAAGAGTAAGAATGAGACACAGTCGATCCTTGAACAATATAGGGGTTAGGGTTATCAGTCCTCCACGCAATTGAAAATCCATGTATAACTTTTGACTCCCCCAAAACTTAACAGTTAATAGCCTACTGTTGACCAGAAACCTTACCAATAATATAGTCAGTGAACACATATTTTAGAAGTTATATGTATTCGGGCGCCTGGGTGGCTCAGTTGGTTAAGTGTCTGCCTTTGGCTCAGGTCATGATCCTGGAGTCCCAGGATCGAGTCCCACATCGGGCTCCCTGCTCAGCAGGGAGTCTGCTTCTCCCTCTGACCCTCCCCCCTCTCATGTGCTCTCTCTCTCTCAAATAAATAAAATCTGTAAAAAAAATAAGTTATATGTATTCTATACTGTATTCTTAGAATAAAGTAAACTAGAGAAAAGAAAATGCTATTAAGAAAGTCCTAAGGAGGGGCGCCTGAGTGGCTCAGTTGGTTAAGCAACTGCCTTTGGCTCAGGTCATGATCTTGAAGTCCCAGGATCGAGTCCTGCATCGGGCTCCCTACTCAGTGGGGAGTCTGCTTCTCCCTCGGACCCTACCCCTTCTCATGCACACTCTCTCTCTCAAATAAATAAATCTTTAAAAAAAAAGAAAAAAAGAAAACGTCCTAAGGAAGAGAAAATACATTCATGGTACTAGATTTTATTCATCAAAAAAAAAATCCACCTGTAAGTGGACCCACACAGTTCAAACCCATGTTATTCAAGGGTCAACTGTACTTTTTGGAAGATCTTAAAGTAAATGATAAAGTGACACTATTAAAGCAGTGTGGTCTTAGCTCAAGACAGAACAGACAGAATGATCATCAGGGCAAAAGAGAAAGCTCACACCAGGGCCCTTATGTCCAGTATGTGATGGAGATGCCATTTGGGTGTTGAAATTAAGGCAGTTTCTTTGCCAAAAGAAATTCCAGATGAATCAAAGTATTTAATGTTGGAAATTAGACCATAAAATAATTACAAGAACAATTTAAAATAAAAAGAAACTTGATAAACCTAAAAGTAGTGAAAGATACCATAGAGGATAAGACTGGGAAATTTGGCTCCATATACAATTTACACTTCTATACCTAAAAGTCTCAAAATCAAATGCACCAAGAAAATATTGGCAATGTGCATGACACACAAGTCATACTGTAATATATGTTAATATACCATTAATATGTTATATATTAATAACCATTAATACTGTCATATATAAAGAGTCTTCAAAAATCAGCAAAAGGGGCACCTGGGTGGCTCGGTTAAGCAAGCGACTGCCTTCGGCTCAGGTCATGATCCCAGGGTCTTGGGATCGAGGCCCACATCAGGCTCCCTGCTCAGTGGGAAGCCTGCTTCTCCCTCTCCCACTCCCCCTGCTTGTGTTCCCTCTCTCGCTGTCTCTCTCTCTCTCAATTAAATAAATAAAATCTTTTAAAAACAACAACAAGGGCGCCTGGGTGGCTCAGTTGGTTAAGCGACTGCCTTCGGCTCAGGTCATGATCCCGTAGTCCCTGGATCGAGTCCCACATCGGGCTCCCTGCTCGGCAGGGAGTCTGCTTCTCCCTCTCCCACTCCCCCTGCTTGTGTTCCCTCTCTCACTGTGTCTTTCTCTGTCAAATAAATAAATAAAATCTTAAAACAAACAAACAAACAAACAACAACAAAAACCAAAAATCAGCAAAACTAAACACCACAATGGAAGAATGGTCAAAACACATGAATAGCCACTTCAGAAAAGAAATACAAGTGACTAATATACAAACGGAATTAATGAACATCAAAGAAGTGCAAAGTAAAATAATATTAAATAGAATTTATTACCAACCAAGTTGGCCGGTAATTTTTGAATCATTGAAACTTGAGAAAGTATCCATACCTTTTTAATCAGAGTAGGAATTTATCCCAAGAAAATAGATTATGGATCCGTGCAGAGGTTTGCAACATAAGGTGACTGGTTCATTAGAGCATTATTAATACAAAATCAGAAGCAATCTTAAAACTGCATCTGTTGGGACACATGAAAAAGTGCTTAATATCACTCGGCATCAGGGAAATCCAAATCAAAACCTCAATGAGATACCACCTCACACCAGTCAGAATGGCTAAAATTAACAAGTCAGGAAACGACAGATGTTGGCGGGGATGCGGAGAAAGGGGAACCCTCCTACACTGTTGGTGGGAATGCAAGCTGGTGCAGCCACTCTGGAAAACTGTATGGAGGTTCCTCAAAAAGTTGAAAATAGAGCTACCATATGATCCAGCAATTGCACTACTGGGTATTTACCCCAAAGATACAAAAGTAGGGATCCGAAGGGGTACGTGCACCCCGATGTTTATAGCAGCAATGTCCACAATAGCCAAACTGTGGAAAGAGCCAAGATGTCCATCGACAGATGAATGGATAAAGATAGGTGGTATATATATACAATGGAATATTATGCAGCCATCAAAAGGAATGAGATCTTGCCATTTGCAACGACGTGGATGAAACTGGAGGGTATTATGTTGAGTGAAATAAGTCAAACAGAGAAAGGCATGTATCATATGATCTCACTGATATGAGGAATTCTTAATTGCAGGAAACAAACTGAGGGTTGCTGGAGTGGGGG